GCGCTCGTCTCCGGGCCGAGTCCTTTCTTTGCCCGGTCCTTCCTGCCTGCCCCCCCTCTCCCCACTCCTCCTCATCCCCACTCCCGCCGAGTCCCTGTGGGAACTTCGCGACGCCAAGCCGCCTTTATTTTCCTTCCGCGCGCGCAGCCACGTGAGTCCGCCACTGCGGTGATTAACGCGTGGGGTGCCCCCCTCCCCCGGCACCTGGACTCCTCCCACTCCACTTCTGTTCCCGACCTCCCCCCCCTCCGAGCGCGCCCGCTGGCCCGATCGGTGCTCCTCGGAGGAGAGAGGAAGCGACGAGCGCGGGAGGAGAAGGCGGCGATTTGGCAGAAAGCGAGGTAATGCAGCGCCCTTGGGAGGCTTGCCGAGACGGTTCACACGACACTGATTCGGAATTTGGGTTTGGGGAAGCCGAAATTGCGGGCAGCGTCGACCTTTTCTTTCTTTCTCTCCGGCGACATCCGCCCGCCCTCTTGCAAGTGCCGTGTGCATGATTCGCTTTAGGACAGAATTGGGAACACGAATGCCCGCACGGCGTACAAACAACATGAGGGGTTCTGAAAGTCAGCTCTGGTGGGTGTAGTGGCTCCTTCCTGCCGGCAGGGTGCGCGCCCAGGGCTTTGGGCGTCATTGACTGGACGGAGGCAGCGCGAAATTTTGAATGAACATTGCGCGGTGGAAATAACCCCGAGCTTCCGCTAGAGGGCTCTCAGGAGAAAGTGGGCGTGAGGTCACGTCATGACTGTTCCTGGGACGCTTAATACGAGGGATGGGGTTAATATGACCCCGTGCTGAAGTTAGAGGTGGGATATATGGTAGAGTTGTTATGCAAAGGTTACTCTGGCAAATCATGAAGTTTGCACTCCTGGCATGTGTGACACAACCTTGTATGTACTGTATGTCACAGTAGAAGTGGAGATGGCAGAGTAGGTTGGGAGAAACATTCCAAGCGGAAATGCCCTCCCATCCATGTCAGCACAATCCTTAATTCTGAAGTCACAAAACAGTGGTCAAATTTTTAAATTCTTCAAACCTCTTCATCGTGCTAGATGTTTCTGCCAAGGAGCTTAAAGCATTATGCTGGTTGTTTTGTGCCATTGAGTCATTTCTGACTCATGGCAACCCCAGTAGGGTTTTTGAGGTCTTTGAGATGTTCAGGGAAGGGTAGAAACTGAACCCAGGTCTCCTGAGCGTTAGTCTGGCCCTCTGTTCCCTACACCACATCGGCTCAAATATATTCGTACCATCTTGCTGTTTTTATCTTAACAACAACTCTGTGGGGTGTTATTTATTTTATTACATTTATATCCTGCCTTTCTTGCAAGAAGCTCGAGGGGGTGTGTATGATGGGTGGCTATATACCATTTGGTACCCAACAAGTTGAAAGAACAGCTGGGCCATGATAGTAATCCAGTAAATTGAATAGCTCAGCAGGGACTGGAACTTGGATCTTCCCAGTCCAAATCCAGTGTTCTAATTTCTCCATCACGATGGCACTGGTAGGTTAGGCTGATATCATGATTAGTCCAAGGTCACTGAGAGAGCTAGTGGTTGATGTTTATGCCATGTCATCTGCATCTGGTTACAGTATTAAGATGGAAAGTGGGAGGAGGCTGCAAACATTCAAATCAGACCTCATCGGGAGTAATGTGTCCAGTTCCGCAGCCTTCAGTTTAAGAAGAGTACTGACAAGTTAGAACATGCCCAAAAGAGGACACCCAAGATGGTTAAAGAAGGTCTGGAAACCAAATCCTGTGAAGTATGATTGAAGGAGCTGGTTGTGTTCAGCCTGGAGAAGAGAAGACAAAGAGGTGATCTGACATAGCCATCTTTAAATATCTGATAGGTTAATACAGGGAGGCTGGAACAGATTTGTTCTGTGCTGCTTTAGTGTAGGACCTGAACCAATGAATTTAAGTTACAAGAAAGGAGATTCTGATTTAACATTAGGAAGACTTATTGTAAGCGCTGTTTGACAGTGGAACAAACTATCTTGGAAGATGGTGGACTCTCCTTCATGTTTGGTTTTTAAGCAGGGGTTGGATAGACATCTGTCAGGGATGCTTTAGTTTCCTGCATTGCTGGAGACTGGACTGGCTGACTCTTGATATCCCAACTGAACTTAGCAATTCTGTGACTCTATAAAATGAGTTGCTACCAGAAACTTGGATGGTTTCAAGTACCTGCACAGGTTTTAATGCAATAATTTTCATGTCTTGAATGTTTGAATGTTCTAATTGTGTGTTGCTCAGTTTTAAATTGTTTTACATTTCTGATTTTGTATTTCAAATTGCTTTAAATATCTTATGTTTCAAATTGTTTTATACAGCTTGGTAAACTGCCCTGAGTTCCTGAGGTATGTGGCAGGCTATAAAGGTTTAAATGAATAAAAACAAATCTTTGGGAGCCTTTGTGAATGGGACAGAAAACAGAAGAAGTGTCACTTAATTGGATTTTAGATTAAGGGTGTATTCAGATCTGGGAATAGCAGTAACCAAGTTTGCACTATCATGTATACCAACTTAGCACTGTATCCCACTGAACAGCTCTGAGTATAGATTGGTGTGTCTACTGTATACACGTGCACTTAAAAGGTTTAAAGAGAAGCCCCATGCTGGCAAGCCAGAAAGTGTGCATGGAAGGGTAAATTTCTGCACACAGAAGCCCTGCTCAGACCCATCTGCTTGCCTGACCCAGAATTTAAACAGACATTCTTGTGTACACTGTTAAGGACTGCAGAGATGCTTCTAATTACGTTCAGTTGACTATTCTCTACAGTATTTCTATGACCAGAAGTCTTATCTTAGCAGAGTTCCCAACCATGGAAACATCGTAGATGTGTTGAGATGAGTTCACTTCCAAGGCCCTCCAGTCTTTTCACAGTGAACAAGTGAAGATCTGTCCAGCTTTCAGAGGTGATGGGGAACAGTTTACTTGCATCTCTGTGTCACCACCATACATTTACCCCTAACTTGCTATCAGGCATAACATTTGAATAGGGCTACAGTGAGTGTCTCAGTTGAGGGAAGCTGAGAGGATATGTGGAACATACAGCATAAGATACCTGTGATCTTCCTACTGGAAAGGAAACCAATCTAAATAAATATCATCAGCTCCTTCAGCTTTACAGAAACCATACAAATTAGGTCTGTCCCTAAAACAATAGGTTGTGCTGGGGATTTGAATTCTGCATACCCAGCATTGTATAGCACGGATTAGGTAGTGACCTGTTGACTGTCTTTAACTTGCCTTTTCTAGAGCTTGGAAAAGTAATTTTTGGACTACAGCTACCAGAAACCCCCGACAATTATCACCAGCCTCTTCTCATGGTTGTAGTAAGGCTGAAGAAGTGAAGGATGTTTCTTTAGACTTTTTTTCATCTGTGGTTCAGAGAACTCAGGCGTTTTATACTATATACTCAATTTACCCTTCAGACATTAATCATGTGGCAGGCTAACTGTATACTGAGACAACTTCTTGCTCTCCAGCAGCCATGCTAGCTGAAGGATTCTGGGAGTTGTAGTCAAGAAAGCACAGAAGAAAAATAGTTTTATCCCACCTTTAAAATGAACAGATTTGTTTTATCATGAGCTTTCGTGGTCTACAATCCATTTGTACAGACACACGGCTCATCCCAAAAATTTACTTTTGTCTTGAACAGGTTTATAATTAGGCAGATTTCTTACACACCTATTTTCATTACCCATCTCAAAGGTGGACTAAGGATTCTAATCACAGTACGGACTGTGAATGTGGAACAAGGCGCCAGTGGTAATTACTCCAGACGGATGAATCCTTTGAGCTCCACTCACACTGTAATTAGTTAACAGGCATGGTTTCAACCACTGGAAGAGGTCCAGAACACCTTCCCCAGTGGATGGCAACTAGGGAACAAGGAGGGATCTTTCAGTGGGTTGTTCCTTTGCCTGATAATTGCTTGTGCTTTTCTCTCCACAGGCAACTTCCCTTTCGGTCTGGTTCTCATCTGGGGGGACCCTGGCAGCGCAGGCCCCCCAAACTTCATTTTTCTGAAACACGGCTCTAGCCAACCTGCTTCGCTGCTTCACTTGCGACCGCCTGTGTGGGAGCTGCACGGCGCCAGCTCCCCCACCTCGACAGGGCATTGCTCTCCAGCCTGTCATGCCCAGCTGTGAGCCAGTGCCACCTGCACCTTGCCTCCCGACCAAGACCTTCCGCAGCTACCTACCGCGGTGTCACCGGACATACAGCTGTGTCCACTGCCGGGCACATCTGGCGAAGCATGATGAGCTCATCTCCAAGGTATGTATGTTCCAAAGTCACGGGGACAACCTTAATGACAACAAATGTATATTGGTGCCTCAACATCCGTATCTGGCACAGCAAGGTTCCTGGAGTTTTTTCAGTGGCTGTGATGGCTGACCAATTCTGAGAGTTGCAGTCCAAAAAAAGATGATGATGATGATGATGAAGAAACCAGGGCCCCATTAGGGCGCTATCTAACAACAGCACCCTGCCAGGGTACAAGGACCAGCAATATGAGTCTGATCTCACAGCTTCTACTTTGAATTGAAATGCTTGGTTTGCAGTGTGTGTGTGTGTGTGTGGGAGGGGCAGTGTGTAGGTTAAAGAATCTGTCAGTGAAGAGGGTCGTAACTCCTATACTTTTATTTCCACAGTCCTTCCAGGGGAGTCATGGTCGCGCCTATCTTTTCAATTCTGTGTGAGTGTTCTCTTGCAATTGGTTTTCTTTGGTGGTGATGGGGTGGAGTACAGTGTGGGGAAAGTGCAGTCAGTGCAGAGACAGGCAGAGAGCTGCTGCTCTTAAACACAAGGAGGCGAAATGGTCAGGATCGCGAAGTGACTAATACACAAAAGTGATGTCGTTAGCTGAGGGGTTTACTGCTATATCTGGGTGCTCCTCTAGAGAAAAGGACATCTAATGGTGTATATCCTTCGCATTGCATTCAACACCCCTTTGTCCGTGATTCTTTGAACCAGAGCTCATGCTGTACTGAATTCTCTTACTCAAGAAGAAATAAAACAAAGAGATTTTCCATGTGAACAGTGCGCAACTGAGTATGCATCTCCTAAATGTATGATGCTTCCGTTCACTGCAGTAGTCTCCTACTATAGATAACCACAATCAATGACCTTTTTGGGATGAGAAAGCAAGTAAAACTCTTGTGGAAGGATGCAGCACCCCCTAAAATCTGAGAACAAGAATAAGGGTTTTAACATCTATAAGTATGACTTACAGCAGCTTTGCATCTGAGCCGATATTATTCTCAAGAAATAAAATGCACTGAATACAGATGATACTTGGTTTAATTTCTCTCTGTGTGCAGTCTTCATTCCTGGAGGCTGTTCAGGCTCAGGCAGAGGTGGGCACTGTGGAATCTTAACGCTGGTGCTCCTGTCGCCCTGCTTTATGTCATCACTGTTCCCTCCTGGGTGCTGGGCTTTACCACCCACCCACCCACAGGATAATATGCTCTTGACCTTCAAGCAGCTTTTTTTACTTCAAATCAAGACAGTTGGCTTGGTGATTAATGACAGTATCTGCAAAATACTTCTTATATATCCTTTATTTTTCTTCCAGTTTAACTCTGAATCCTTAATTCTTCTGCTCCTTTGAAGAGTCCTTTCACAACGAATGCATCTGCAAAGATTGATGAGATTAACCCTTTCCCCAAGATCAGAGCATTTTGGATCATCTTTCAGACTTTCAGCGCTTTGATTTTAAAATAATAATAATGGCAACATTCAAATTCTGTTTTAAGGTACAGAAGGCTCTCTAGGGACCTCTCTATGCGCCATGAATTTGGCAGGGAAGAAAAACACACTACTTCCCCTTCTCTTCATGTCTAAGTGGCCTTTGGCAGGAAGGCAGCTGAGCTCCAGGTCAGTAAGACTGAGTCATAGGGATTTAGCTTTCCTCTGCCCTGGCTGTCAAACCCAGCCAAGCAAAATGTTGTTTTGAAATGGTGGACCCATTTTGCCTCATAAATCGTTCTTTTCTCAGTGGTAAGAATGTGTGGGACTGGCAGAGCAAGGGTGCACTTAACCAGTTTCATGGGAAATAACAGATAGCCTATATTTTAGTATGCAAGGGGGTTCTTGGGGATGTTTCATAGTGGTTATGGGCTAATGGAGGTTAATTTCATTATGTAATGAAATAACAATCAGACTTGTGGTAACTGTTCCTCAAAGCAAGAAGCACAGCATCAGTCCCTTCATCTCTCAGTAGTCAGCCCGTCCCTGCCCTGGCTACAAACATCCTGCTGCTGCTCTGCATCCAGGCACAGGAGAAGGCAGCTGCTGTGCCCAGCCTCCTTCAGCTATAGAGGAGGAAGAAAAAAAGAAGCAAAAGTACTGGGGTCGATGATGATGACCACCTCCTGCCAGAGAAGACACCTACCCCAAAACACCCTTCAAATAACTGTCCTTGTCAAACTGTTCTTCAGATAGTGTCACAGGCAATTGCAGGTCACTTTTGCCCACTGTGCAAGGGATGGATAACAATCTTTTTTGAAATGGGAGGACTTGGGGGGGGGCACTGCAATGTCTCTAGTGTTCTTGGACTGCAACTCCCAGAAGCCTTCACCACCAGCTGTGCTGCCTGGAATTTCTGGGAATTGCAGTCCAAGAACACCTGGGCTGCCCAAGGTTAGGAACCACTGCTCTAATGCAAAAACTGCTGCTCATGAAAGCCTTCAAGGATGCAAACAGGCCTCTTCTTCCTTCTCCTCCTTCTTCCTTTTTTGCATTTTTGATAAGTAGTCTTTGGGGTCACAGTGGTGCCCTGCATGTGGCCCCATGAGTCACACTTAGCCCAACCCCTGCCAGTGTGCTTTGCTTTTGAGGATCTCTCAGAGCTAAGCAGTGAAGGAACAGCCTGCTTACCACGGCTGCCTGTCGTGGTGCTCTGGGGTGGGGAAGAGCACCATCATCATCACCACCACCACCACCACCACCAGGGCCTGCCTAATGGCAGGCAGTTTGATCCTTATCAGTTTTTTTTTAAAAAAAATTCTATGTTTCCTTTTTCCCCATAGAGAGACTCAAGGTAGCTCACAACAATTAAAACACTGTTAAAAATTAAAAAACCAGGAGATAAAACATGAAAAAACAATTAAGCATGTAAAAATATTAAAAATCATGAATTGAAAACACTAAAAAAACTTTTTAAAAAATCCCTTAATTCAATAAATTGCACCACTCCTCAGACCACTACGGTGTTTCACTGAAAATAAGACAGGGTCTTATATTAATTTTTGCTCCAAAAACACATTAGGGCTTATTTTCAGGGGATATTTTATTTTACAGTCCTGTTATCATCTTCTGGTTGCTGCGCAATGGTGGAGGTCGGGGTTTCACTTAACTGGGGCTTATTTTTGGAGTAGGCCTTATATTACGAGCATCCTGAAAAATCCTACTAGGGCTTATTTTCAGGTTAGGTCTTTTTTTTCAGGGAAACAGGGTACTTATCCAAACCATATAAAATCCGGCCTCCAAATTAACACCTCTGGCTAACAGCAGGACAAGAAGGAAGGGGCCAGCCGTGTTTCTGAGAGACTGTGTTCCATAGAGCCTGGGTACGTCCACTGAAAAGGCCCCTCTCCGCCTCCTCACCAAACGAGCCTGTGAGGGGGATAAGACTGAGAGAAGGAGGTCTCCAGAACATCTTTAAAAGATCTTTTTCCTATTATCTGGATAAGTACAAACAGATTAGCGACCGCTTTCATTCCTGATGTTCACCAGGTGTGGAAGAGCAGCTTTTTTACTCTCTTTGTACAAAAGCAAGGGCCGCATGTGCCACATTTTTTTGCTTTTTTAGAGGGTCAGTTTATTAGTAGAGCTAAAGTGGCTTGCGATCTAAGTCTGAATTCTTTTCTTTTACCTCACAGCCTGATAATTTTGTATCTCGGGAGAGTGTAACTTGCATCTCTTTCTGTATCCGTTTGAACTAACGAGGGAAGACCACCCGTCCTTTGGCAGGCCTTGGCTCCTGGTAAATAAACCTGCCGCTGCTTCCTTCTGCCAGGGGCCTTCTTTACCTTTTCCTACTAAGAGTGTTATCTTCAGTAAGGAATGACTGTCCTGCAAGGAATAAAAGCATCACACATTTAGGAGATGAGCCCATGTCTTCCGAGGAAAACAGCAGTTCCTGGTTTATTCCAAGCCAATGTTCGTTTCTAGGGCTCCGGATAGCAAAGGGAGGCCTTGGTTCCCTTCTCCTCGCCTCCCTTTCCAATATCTGCATGTGACACAGATCATTTTTTAGCATACAGAAAGAGTCCCTGAAGTTCAAGCCTTTGGCACTTCCAGCAGCTCTCAAGCGGCCATGCCCTCTGTAAGCTGTTTCAGTTGACAGAACCACCAACTTCAAAAGACAGGTTCCTAACGCTCCTGAGACCACTATGTTGCATCTGAGCATGTGACACCCAGTCCAGGATGAGAAGGTGCTGCAGCATCTTAAGCAAGATGAAACATGGGTCACCATGCAGTTGTCCACCACTGGGGGTAATTGGTTCTGCAGTGTGAATGCTTGCCAAGTTGCCAGCTTTCCTGATAAAGGCAACTTCTACGGTTCTGCAGATCTTCCTCCTGGCCACTAGAGGCCGTTCTGAGACTCCGTTCAGAATTCTCTTTATGCTGTCAGTGCACAGTCTTTAGACTCCTAGTCCAACAGACAAGGGTTTCGCTCCTGCTGCTTTTAAAAGATCACATTCAAGAGCACGATGCAGTGATTTTGCCACTGATGTGCCTTAATAGATGCTCAGTAGATTTTTATCAGGAAATTGGAAATCATGAGATTTCATAGCCAAACCTGCCACTTTTGTTTCAGTTTGCTGAAAACTCTGCATAAACAAAAACCCAGTAGTGTGATTTGGAAAGCCTTTTTGCTTCTCTGCAAGCACTTTTTAGAAAAACCTTGGAATAGGGACATTTTTTTTCCCTGCCAAGAATTTGTGGCCATCTTTTTTGCCAGCAGAACAGGATAGGGTACTGCTGGGATGAATGCAAGATACATGATGGCACCCTCTCATTTCTTTGATTGCAGGGTTAATGTGGGCTGTGGTCCAGCCGAGCAACGTCTCTTGCTCACTGGTCTCCATTCTGTTGCCGATATTTTCTGTGAAAGCTGCAAGACTACCCTGGGATGGAAATATGTGAGTACTGTATAAAAGTAGTTTATCCGCATGGATAATAAACCCCAGTGGCCCCTGGCATTTAGAGATGCCTTTCTCTGTCACACACTCCCAATGGAAATGCCGATTCCTAATACCCCATTGTAAATCACTGATGATTTTGCTTCACATATTGCTCATCACCCCCTCCCTTTTTGAAAGTAAACCTTATGTTTTAAGTGCGACGGATCATAAGGAATCATGAGGGTTCCGGTTGGGGAGGAAAGTTAAATCAGAAAAATCTGGAGTGAGTAGGCTTATATCTTCCTGTTTCCTTGTTTGCCAGGAACAAGCCTTTGAGACCAGCCAGAAGTACAAAGAAGGGAAGTACATTATTGAGATGTCACACATGGTGAAGGACAATGGATGGGACTGAAGTGTGTGTGTGTATGTGGGGACTTTCTGGGTGCACACCCTCCTGCGTAGCATGTCTTGTGCCCCTTCCTAACCCCACTGCCACAGCTGGCCCCCCGGCACAACCAACCCAGCCCCCTCTCTTCCTTCCCCCCATCTCCCGCACAACATCACCCGTGAGTGGAGATACCAGGACCCTTCTCCCAAACCTCTTGCACTTCCTAAAATGCTGGATTCACAGTTGGGGAGACCCCACACCACCCTTCTCACAAAAGGGGAAGCACACAGGGTTCAGGGGCCAATGTGGAAGGACTCTGGATTGGATCTGACTTGATCGGTATGGGGCAGGCTACGCCCATCACTGATACCAGTTGGGCGGAACAAACTGGGGGTGGTGGTGGAGTGGGTTTGCCCAGAACTGCGAACATGGAAGCAGGTTTGAACTTTTCAGTTCATTGCATAAAACATAGTCTTTTCTGGAACGAGACAGAAAAGGCTGCAGGCACAGGGCAAGCTCCTGGGGAAGGGCTTGAAGAGAGCGCACGGTTTGCATGCAGAGGGTCTTGGGTGCAGTTCCTGGCACTCCAAGTTTAAAAGAACCTCATGGAACTAGGCTGTACCCAAGGTCCTGGGTAATTGCTGCCAATCAAAGCAGGGCCAACCAAGGGTCTGATTAAGTGTAAGGCAGCTTCTTAGGCTCCTTTTCTTTCTGGCGACAAACCGAAAGTGTGCACCAGCCTACTAATGCTGGGCAGAGAAGGCTAGAGGGAGAAAACATCCCTCCCACGATGAAACAGAAAGGTATCTTTGAGGTAGGGGACAGAGGAGCAGTCCCTCTCCACATGGGGCCATGGTAGTTCACCTCTCCTTTCACCATGTCCTTCCCCCAAGCACTGCCGTGGTATTTCCCCCATGTTTACTGTATGGAGTCCATTTCTTCTGTAACGGGTCGTGTGTGCTTGTGATCCCGGGGCACCATGGAACCCCCCACAACTCCCCCACTGTATGTGAAGGAAGGTGGGGAAGTCAGGTGGGGGGGCAAAGCCTCAGCACTGTCACCAGCGCAGGATGGTTTTTTTGTTTTTGTATAATAATGTGTTTTGTATTAAAAAAAACAACAACAAAGAAAAAGCCATAGTATGAATGGCTTTTGCCACCCACTTCCTTGCTGCTAGAAAGTCTATTCACACAAAAGCAAGCTTGCTGGAAAATATTTCAAATATTATTTATTTGACATAAGTAGGACAGGAACAGAGAAGTAATGCTCAATGGCCTTAAAAATCCAAGAAATAATTTAAAAACAAATAGCAGTACCATTAGATAAACATTAGGAGACCCAAATAAACAACAAAATGCCCACCTATATGTTCCTTCCCATTTACAGCTGGGAAAATTGCAGAATCTCATGTGCAAAATTACTGTAATCTAGAAAGTTCACAGCACAGCTGCCCATATGTTCTCTGCGTAGAAATATTTAGAGCTTTCTTTCCCAGAGACTTTGACATCCTGTCTATGAGAACACACACACACACACAAACACCTTATCTCAAACACAGGAAGGCTGTTCCATCAGCTTCATAAGAAGGATGGATAAGTGTGACATATGACTTCTAAGGAAGAAGCCATCCTTCAGCCACCACTCTGGAATGTGTACTATTTGGCCTCCAGCAGTTCATGGTGAACAGCCCCATTGTAAGGGGTGGGGTGGATCAACTGCTCACCTTTAGGACATCTATGATTAACCCTTTTACCTCACACATAACAAGCCCCCCCCCCGTGTCCCTCCCGTGAACTTGGCCAATGGTGGAGGCTGAGAAAGCTTCGTGCTGTTGCTGCCACCTACCCAATGCCCTTTTTACATTGCACTGCTTGGGTTGGGCTCAGACAGTAGCACAATGTGAAAAGAGCTTCGGACGGGGGCCGTGCTCGGTGTATCTGAAGGCCCTGCTCCTTCTCTGTGTGGAAATAAGAGAGCCGGCACTCTACCTTCTCTCTCAAGGTAAGAAGGATCACAAAGGATGAATAGAATTTACTTTACCAAGTCTACGTTCCCTTGAAAGTTTTCTGTGGAACACTGAGCTACTGTTATGCACAAAATCAGTCCAATTTCCTTCTGTAGTCTTCTTCCAGCTGGACCCTCCTTTTACATGTTTCTGGAAGACGACTCAAAAACTCCACCTGCAAGGAAGAAAGAAAGATGGAACAACTTGTTTCTGTCACTGCAACCACCAGCTTCACATTTACAGTGGCATTGGAAGCCATTCTGCAGAGGCTGCAGTGGAATGGCACATGACTTAAAAGGTTCCTTTTCTATTTAGAAGACTGCAAAAACAAATCATATTTGTGACAATTGCCATGAGTGGAGCAGCCTTGTTTCCAGTGCAGGTACACAATCTCAGTTCGGGCATACACAAAATGGGTGCATAAAACTAGGTTTTATTCCCTCATTTGTTGCAAATTCCTCTGCCTGAGGGTTCTTTTAAGTTGTCATCTGTCACAGAGGAATAATACTCTCTTTCAAGATAGGACAGTGTAATATATATATATAAAGCCGTGATATATTAGAATAATTGCTTAACGTTTCCCATATTTTTCTGGGTGTACATAGATGTACCACCCATCTCTCATGTACCACTTTTGGATTTACAGTCGTGCCCCGCTTTACGATTGTCCCACATTACGGCGAAACAGCATTACAATGACATTTTTGTGATTGCTTTTGCGATGGCAAAACGATGGTCTGAATAGGCTTTTTTCGCTTTGCGATGATCGGTTCCCTGTTTCGGGAACCGATTCTTCGCAAAACGACAATTTTCCTACAGCTGATTGGTGGTTTCAAAATGGCCGCCGGGTAAATAAAATTGCTCCCCACTGTTTTCTGGGACGGATTCCTCGCAAGACAGCCACCGAAAATGGCCGCCCTATGGAGGATGTTCACTGGACGGCGAGGTCCTAGCCCATTGGAATGCACTAAACGGGGTTTAATGCATTTGAATGGGTTTTTTATTTTCACATTACGTTTTCGTTCTACAGCAATTTCACTGGAACTAATTAACGTTGTAATGCGAGGCACCACTGTACATCCCACTGCCTATACAGAAATGCAGAGGACTGGGGTGATCCCCTCATACAGTTGGAAGACAGAGGAAAATGGAGGAGATAAAGAGGCTTCATTGGAGTCAGGCAGCAGAGGGAATCACAGACACCCTGCTTTCTCAATTCTAAGTCTACTAGCACAGTGGTTCTCAAACTTGGGTCCCCAGATGTTCTTGGACTGCAGCTCCCGGGAATATTGGCCAGTACGGCAAGTGTTGAAGGCTTCTGGGAACTGCAGTCCACGAATATCTGGGGACCGCAGTTTGAGAACCACTGTTAATTGTTGTATTTATTCACTCGCTTGAACTACTGTGTTGCTTGTTTCTATTGCAACTTCCTAATACCCTAGCCAGCATGACTATGTGAGCTCTGAGAAGTTTGTAAAAATGTAGTATCTTCAGAAGTAACTTTTTAAAACTCTGGGGTTTTCCCATTGACACATTAAGTCCATCTTTCGTATCTCCTAGTTCCAAAAGCTTCATGATGCACTTCCCCATGCATTAATGCCCTTGCCAATCAATTCTAAAGCATTCCTGTTGAACAGCCCTGGTGTCTTTATATAGAGATTAACACTGGAGTAGGGGCTGCAAACCTATCCATTCTGAAGGAAATCAACCCTGAGTGCTCACTGGAAGGACAGATCCTGAAGCTGAGGCTCCAGTACTTTGGCCATCTCATGAGAAGAGAAGACTCCCTGGAAAAGACCCTGGTGTTGGGAAAGTGTAAAGGCAAAAGGAGAAGGGGACGACAGAGGATGAGATGGTTGGAGAGTCATCGAAGCGACCAACATGAATTTGACCAAACTCTGGGAGGCAGTGGAAGACAGGAGGGCCTGGCATGCTCTGGTCCATGGGGTCACGAAGAGTTAAGACACAACGACTGAAAAAGGGCTGCAATATAGGTTAATCCATATAATTTATACAGTAGAGTGGGAATATGCAGCTCCTTAGATCTGATGCTTCAGCTGACATCAGACCCAAGCAACAAGTAGTAAGGGATGACAAGAACTATAATTCAATACCTGAATAGCCACACATTCCTCCTTTTCATACAGGTTGCAAACCATGTAGAAATTATGTATTATATATTCATATTTAAGTCCAGGAGCATATGATGGTCTTGCGTAATTCCACAAAAATATTTCAGTAAGTTTACAACTTTGCGACTAGAATCAAAGAAATGGAATCTGGGAGATAACAGCAACCTTGTAGAAGAAAGAGAAAGCAAGGTCTTGGTTTGGATCTGAAGTGAGAGAACGAGAAAAGAAGTGTCAGAAGATAGCAACACTTATCCTTCTTTTCCCTCTTTCACAAAGCATGTGCAACCAATACAAGGGGTAGATGGGAACCTGTATTACATGAGTCCTATATCCTCCACGTAAAAAGGCCTGCTTGACTACTGGAGCCAGATGTTATGTTGCCATTCTGTAAAAAAAAAAAAATCAGCATTAATAGAAACGACTTCAAACTTCTAATTCAGACCACACAGTCAAGCTTCTTCTACCATTCAGCTCAATGGCCTGTTACTATTGACTGATTAAGGCCATAAAAAGACACCTAGTCATGACACTTCTTTAGTGGAGAATATTCTCTCCATTAACAGTCTATTCATGCTGATTGATAAAAATGAACCACACATGGCAAAAGTGATACCAGGCAGAAGCAAACTATATGCCCACAGATACAGGAACCATTGTGTGGAGAACAACAACCTATGCTTCACATACAGGCCACAGAATTTAACAAAGCAAAAGGGTAGGTAACAAAATATATGTCAAGTATGAAGATGTTCCAGCGAAGGGAAATGTAAATAATTAATGATTTTGATGGTGGCTATTTCTTAAGTCATCTGAAACGTATTTTCCAAATAATTCAAGAGAAGTTATTTTTTATTGCATCAGCAGATGAGACAAAAATCAACACGTCTGCAGGCACAATCATTTTACCAGGATTGTAAGACATGTTTGCTGCAGTATAGTTGAGTTCAGATATGATAAATTTGTTTGTGAATGTAGCACTATATAAGATGAGAATGAAAACATTCACCAATGTGTCTGTTTTCCTGAAAATTACAGCAAACATATTAATACTACAGTCATCTACAGCAGCCATTTTCAACTTTTTTAAACTAGGCCATAAACATAATATGAAAGAAATATAGGCTGAATCAGGATTGCAAGTCACAACCTTACAAGGCAGTGTGTGAAGAACAGTTTCCAGTCTGTAGCCCTTGTAAAATGTGCCAGGCCCCCATTGAGAATGGCTGATCTACATTACTTAATACTGCACTAGGTCCCTTAATACTGCACTAGGTCCCCGTTTTGGGAAAAAGATAGTACATATTGTAAATGAAATAGGGAAAAATCAGTACAGTCAGCCAGCCACCTGATATCACAGAAGCAATAGCCAAAATCCTGTTGCTTTGTTACACTAGAAAAAGGGCATAACTCGCAGGAGCAATTTGCTATTAATTAATAAGACCTTCCTTGGATTCCTTGTCATCTACCAAGCCATCTGACTGGTGTACAATGGGGAAACAGAACAGGGTGCTCATTAATTTGTAGGATTTGTCTGTTGTAGGTTATGCCATTACCCTTCTGCCAGCGTAACTATACAACAGGATTTTGGCCAGCAGAACATATCCTCTTTATCCCCAAATTACCATAGATGAATTGATTTAGTAAGAAGCAACCTCTCCTAAACTTTTTCAATGAAATATACAGCAGCTAGGTGCAGTAACTTTATGGTATTTCTGTAAGAAGAGATAAAGGTGCTGTTTCAGCAGTGCTGCCCATCTTGATTTTCTGGTTCAAATTCATTTTGTCCAGTAACATGGTGGACTGAAGAGACCAAGTGAAGAGATAACTATTCAGAAGGCAGAGGAGTATAACTTTCTGACTAGGTACAAAGATTCAAGTTCAGCTCATATGTTCTGAAGCAGCGGTCCCAAAACATTTTGGTACCATAAAGGTGCTGTTTCAGCAGTGCTGCCCATCTTGATTTTCTGGTTCAAATTCATTTTGTCCAGTAACATGGTGGACTGAAGAGACCAAGTGAAGAGATAACTATTCAGAAGGCAGAGGAGTATAACTTTCTGACTAGGTACAAAGATTCAAGTTCAGCTCATATGTTCTGAAGCAGCGGTCCCAAAACGTTTTGGTACCATGGACCAGCTCAGTCTCTGAGGAAGGCAGGGTACCCCCTGCACACGCTCCCTCTTGGTCGCATGTGTAAAGTGGGGGAGCCTGTGCGTGCTTGCCAGCACCGGCATGAGTGCTTTCCCACCCCTTCACGCATGCGCAGGAGCCCCTGCACACCCGCCCCTTCGCACAGGCACTCAGGCGCATGCGTGAAGGGGTGGGGGAGCGCTCCTGCTGGTGCTGGCACGTACATGCATGCGCAGCTGTGGGGAGAGGAATACATGCGGGGGTGGGAGGTCTGTCTCTGTGGCCCAGTCAGGCTCAGGCCACAGACTGGCACCGGGCTGCAGACCAGGGGCTGACAGTACACACTGCTCTAAAGTACACACAGAAGGCCAAGTATGCAGTCTAGACTCAAGAGAAAGTCTGCCAATCACACTAAAGTTGAGAAACAGGTAACTATTCACAGCCATTGAACCACTGGACCACTGAAGTAAATATTCATGCACAGATGCAAAGTTCTGCCCCTAGAAAAATAAACCAAATGCAGTGTTACAGGATGGGGGATTGTTGGTTCAGCTCTACTACATGCAAGAAGGGTCTTTTAGGGTCTAGTTTTCAAATCCCGCAAGGTACTTGTTCCCCTCTATTCGGGAGTAGTTAGGCCTCATCTTGAGTACTGCGTCCAGTTCTGGACACTGCACTTAAGAAGGATGCCAAATTGGAACAAGTTCAGAGGAGGGCAGAAAGGATGATCAGGGGACTGGAAACCAAGCCCTATGGGGAAAGACTGAAAGAACTGGGAATGTTTAGCTTTGAGAAAAGACTGAGGGGAGATATGATAGCGCCTTTCAAGTATTTGAAAGAGGAATGATAGGAACATACAGAAGAATGATAGGAACTGTTCTCAATCATTCTAGAGTGCAGGGCAGGGCACATAATACTATAATGGGCTCAAGTTACAGGAAGCCAGATTTCAGTTGAATATCAGGAAAAACCTGCTAACCGTTAGAGCAGTATGACAATGGAATCATTAACTCAGGAGGCGGTGAGCACTCCAAACACTGGAGGCATTCAAGAGAAAGTTAGACAACCATCTGACAGATATATTTTAACTTGGATACCTGCATTGAGCAGGGGGTTGGACTCAGTTCTTATAGGCCCTTCCAACTCCATTATTCTATGGATTTAAAGAGGAGCTGACCCATTAAATCCCAATTGATTCAATGCATCTGCTCTAGTTGAGTTACTATGAAAAGAAACAGCATTCTGGCCATTATATATTAACTCACTCTACATTTAGAAATGGCTAGATGGATAAGATCTATTTCATATGGACTTTAATCATAGGAACTGTAGGCCCCACTTGATATCCTTAGAGGCAACATGCTAGAATGTAACACTTTAGTCAATTCATTCAGACAGTCCCCCTCCCACCCTATTTTTATCTGTACAGACTGCTTTGTTTGCCTAGGCCTAGGGTAACCAAACCCACAGTAAAAATTAGGTCATATGGAACTGCCTTTAGCCACTTTTTACAAACTGGTGCTCATGCATGGTAAACTGCAGAACGTGCGGCACACTTCACCACATGGCCACTATCAGCAGCCTCTGCTCAGAAAGAAGCATATGCTGAAACAAATGTGCACCAGAACCCTTATTATGGAATCTTTCCTCTCGAGTGCAGTGTTGCCACCTAACGAACCAGAACTTTCTGTGACCTATGCAAGTATATGTGAATCTCAGTGGGGCAATGTATGAAGAGTGCAAAAGAAAGAATTACTAGGCTGGAGAAGCCCTCCAAATCCTGGGAGCTTTAGTACTATAGAAATATTCCTTTACTGACACACTGGAGAGATGTCTTTGTCAGAATACTCAAAATCTGGTAGTTGCTGAACAAAGAACGCAAAATCCTGCAAAATGATAGTTTCTATACTTCAGCGGTGGCTGGAATCTGACATTTTACTCCAGAGTAAGTGAAACAGCATAACAGCATAATTTATGGAAGTAAATGGCAACTAATTAATAGGATTGGGTATGCGACTACCCCTTGTTAATTAGCTGCAATTGGCATGATTTCAGTCACTCCAAAGTAAAATCCCAGCAGGACTCTGGCCAATAAACCATAGTGAAATACTTGAGAAAAGAAATCATGGCAGATCTGGGTTCTGTGCATGCTGTCATTATTCTTCTGCAGTATTATGAGTGTGCCATACCATGCACAGCACACAAATGGCTCCTGTTACTGTTGATCACGGAGGAAAGAGGATATAAGATGGGGTGGGGAGGGGAAATATCATGATTACAACAATGACCTTGCCTTCCTGTAAACAAAAAACCCGACTGTGGACACATCATTGCCCCAGGAACTGGAAAAATTACCTTTTGGGATTTCTTGCACAGTTATTAGGGAATTCTTGCAACAATAGTCAAACAAGCAACATTTCAAAGTCCTATCTGGAATCTTTTGCATTTCCTCTGACAGGTATGGAACACACCCACAAACACTCTCACTGCCAGCTAGAATATGCATTCAGGTTTACAGCCCCTTCGCTTTTTGATCTGCATTCAAAAATCACAGCAATAGAAAAAGGGATCAAAGGTGCTTCCAGTATTACGTTGAGAAATATATTTGCCTGCCTCTATCTCTACTCGGACAGGGCCTGGCCAGGCTGCAGGGTTGCTCACACTCATTCGCCAGGACCCGTGACCTACAGGTGGGGTCCCCTTTCCATCTTTCTTTTCATCCGCAGGCCACCGGCTCCACGTTTAAAGAAAGAGACTCTTATCTACTCTTTTTTTAGATCCAGGGGGCAGAAAGTGCTGGACAGGGGAAATGGGAGCCCTCGCAGATCAATCCCTTTCGCTGTTCTTCACGTTACTACCACAAAAGTAGCGCAGGCTGGAACTGGGCTAAAGAGGAGGGCGTGTGGGGGGGGGAGAGAAAGGGGAGTGAAAGTCACAGAGAAGTCCTTGCTATCCTCCAGTCCACCTCATCTCGCCCTCTCTCGACCCCCTGAGAAAAACTGATGGCCTTCGCACCCCCCCTCCCCACTTTAAGGAAGGCAGCTGTAAAGGGAACCCGGGGGGGGGGG